AAAATGGGTATAAATAAATGAGACCAGTAGGACAGGGACATTAGGCATGCTGGTGTGCTTATGCATGCCCCTGCATAATACTGTTGCATATATGTTGTATAATATGATACTGTTGTAGCGCTTCCTTCCTTGGGAAGATTGATGGGACTCTCCATAGTCACCAGATTGCGCTTCTGCCCAGCCAGTGTTTCCTTTCTTAGATGACATGAAAAGTCATCTATGTGAACTGGACAGCCCAGCTCAGACTTATGCCTGTGAACAGTTAGACTAAATAAGATTATTAGTCACATAGTAATGGCAATGCAGCAGATGTTAGACATAAATACATTTGTTATTTATTTTTGTTTGTTATGTTTTACTTGAACTTAATGTAAAAAAAAAAAACCTTTGCCATATAAACAAAGGTACTCTTCCTGTGGCTATGTTGGATAAATTAAGCCCTATAATATGACCCAAACAGTTTCTTGTTTGTCAGTTCTTTCTGTTAACCAGGGTTATTGTGGTTTTGTTATGTAGAAAACATTTGCTACCCAAATAATTATTCTTATTTTTACTGAAACACACACTGCATGGTTTTTTTAATTACTAATACACATTTTATATTCTGTACTCTTGAATCTGGGAGTGGGGGAAGATAACATATTTTTGATTAAACTAAAGTTATTCTGTCTCTGCTTTTCATCATCAAAAGAATGAAAAATAGAAGGAGGATATTGTTTTCTTTTTGAGTTTTATTTGTTTAGAAATGAGAAAGATCAGGTTAGTTTGGTAAGTGTGGTCTAACTTTCAGGATAAAGTGCTTTAAATGGATACTTTTTGATATCAAACTATCCTGATCTGTGTTTACTTCCAATAGAAAATATTACTTTTGATAAAATATACATCAGTAAAAAAATATCTGTCATAATATACAGTATATAAAATATTTCCCTTTGTTGCTTCTTCCTTAATAGAACTCTTGGAGTTCTAAAGTAAAACATTAATTTGAAGTTAATATTGCAGAATATGAAAATCCATAAAGGATAGTTATCTATTTGATAGCTTTCAAATAATTAACTTGCTGCTAAAACAATAAAATATTTTAAAATTACAGGCTGTTTGGGATTCATTTTTTATTTTTGTGTTTTAAAAAAATCAGAATTATGATCTGTCTATTGCTTTAATGTACCCTGTACTGGACTTGCTGTGATACTTGTGACTTTCAAAATCTTTTCCCTTGGCAACCTTTAAAGAGAGCACAAGGTGCCAAGGCCTAAGATAAGCAACATTGAATTCTATTAATAGAATTCCTAATGTGCAATGAGCACCAGAAGCATCCTCAAAAGTCTGCTCCCAAAATGAGGCTATCATTAGAATTTCATTGTCTTTTATTTGGATTCGTGTTGTGTTACTTTTTCTAATGCAACAGTGAAGATATTCAACACTGGGAAATACATAGCAAGCTTGCATGTTTTGTCATTTAACTATTATTATGTGATGGATACAAGTTGCCTAAGTAAGATTTCAATAATATGAACACCTATATAGTATCCAAAGTATTTCATTGGTATACGTTTTTGGATAATTTTAGATATGGGGATGGGAAAAGAATTATGCCCTGACCAATGGAAATCTTACCATGCTTTTAGTTTTTTAATGACATAAATTTTTCAAATATTCACAGATACAAAGGCTTTTAAGAAGACAGAGTTGGGTTTGGTCATAATTGTAGATTTCAAGCAATTTGAATATATCTCATAAGCCCTCATTTGATGTTGCTTTCTTCATACAGTGTCAGATTCGTTGAGGGTTCTGGTAAGATTTTGAGGGTTTTGTTGTTGAGGGCTTTTTATGAGTCTTCAATGTGCTAGCTGTGACCTCCACAAGAATTAAACAGTAAAAAGTTACCATAGTCTTGCATATTNGTTTAATATGCTTATTTTGTATGATTCAATAAATATGTACTCCACAAATAAATTTTAATTTTTAATATGGTAAATATTAGTGATCATAATGCACACAACACTCTTTCGGAGTTCTCCATAGCTTTTAAAAGTGGTAAGGGTAGTGAGAGCAAAAAGTTTAAGAAACACTGCCTTAAGGTATGCAAAAAGTGCTCACCTGCTGCTGGGGAAATTGTTCAAACGAGCTTATTGAAAGCGATAGTAAATTACAATAATTTGTTTCTCGTGTCGGCAGCACGACTGGGTTATAATAACACGTCTCTCTTAATTCCGACAGCCTAGGAATCTGCGCTCCAGGAAGACAAGGCATCTTTGGAACACCAATCTTCCTCCCTGGGACACCCACTCAATGAAGTCCCTTCGAACTACGTTTCCCATGATCCTTTAGCGGAACTCTGCGCTCGCGCCATAGTTACTCCGGGGAGGGGGGGAGGGGGAATTGGGAAGATGGCGGACGGGCCGTCGCGCTCTCCCGCGGGCTGGGGGCGGTCAGCGCGCTCCTAGCACTTAGACCGACCGGGAGGCTCGGCTGTCATTGCCGCCATCGCCACCATGTCTGAGCCGGGCCACCTGGGGATAAAGCGGGCCGAATCGGCGAGGCTGCGCCGGGCGGAACAGCTGAAGCGCTGGAAAGGCTCCTTGACCGAACTGGAGCCGGTGACTCCCGCCCGGAGCCGGCACCGAGGTGGGGGCCGTGTGCGCTTCGAGGACGGCGCCGTCTTTCTGGCTGCCTGCTCCAGCGGAGACACCGAGGAGGTGAAGCGCCTGCTGGCCCGCGGAGCCCGCCTTAACACGGCCAACGTAGACGGGCTGACGGCGCTACATCAGGTACCCCCCAGGGCGGAGCACCTGCACACCAACATCTCGGCGGCCCCAAATCTGCCGGGGATGGAGAGGGGCGAGAGCGCAGCTGTAGGGCGTGTGGTCGCTTCTCGCCCCTCTTCGCCATCCCGGAATCTCCGTCCAGAGCGATGGATGAGAGCGTTGCCCAGTCATTCGCTTGTAATTGGGATGCCCTTCGGACGGGTTGCAAACAAGTCCTCTACTGCTGGGGCGTAGCTGTTGCCCACAGCACATGTGGAGAGCTTGGGCTGGGACGGCTGGCGTTGGATCATGGGCTGTAAGATTAGAGCTTGAGATCGTGGAGGGTGGTTTCTCAGATAAGCGGAGACGGTTAATTCAGTGGAATGAACCTGTTGGTTTTCCTTCGGTTTGCCTTTCTCCCTTTCCTTCGCCCCCCCCCCCCTTCCCAAGGCTCCTTTCTGTATGTCCTGGAATTGACCATTCACCAATATACTTATTTTATTTATTTATTTAGTTTGTCACTCATGTACAAGATAACAGGAATAAGAATAAACATGAATAAGAACACACAAAATGGGTATAAATAAATGAGACCAGTAGGACAGGGACATTAGGCATGCTGGTGTGCTTATGCATGCCCCTGCATAATACTGTTGCATATATGTTGTATAATATGATACTGTTGTAGCGCTTCCTTCCTTGGGAAGATTGATGGGACTCTCCATAGTCACCAGATTGCGCTTCTGCCCAGCCAGTGTTTCCTTTCTTAGATGACATGAAAAGTCATCTATGTGAACTGGACAGCCCAGCTCAGACTTATGCCTGTGAACAGTTAGACTAAATAAGATTATTAGTCACATAGTAATGGCAATGCAGCAGATGTTAGACATAAATACATTTGTTATTTATTTTTGTTTGTTATGTTTTACTTGAACTTAATGTAAAAAAAAAAAACCTTTGCCATATAAACAAAGGTACTCTTCCTGTGGCTATGTTGGATAAATTAAGCCCTATAATATGACCCAAACAGTTTCTTGTTTGTCAGTTCTTTCTGTTAACCAGGG